ACACACACACACACACACACACACACACACACACACACACACTCACTGACTGGTCTGCTCATGTCAGCTTCTCAAATCGAACCGCTGTGGTTACTGACAATAACTTTTACGATGTAAGAAAACATGTGTTTCTAGTCTACTGTGACATATTTCAACAGAAGTCTTGTTTAAAATATTTAACACTACATTTGGAGATTATTTATTTATGATGGCAGCAAACACTCAAAGATACCAGTTCAAATATTAAAGCGCGAGCACTCTTTAATTCCACAGTCGTTCACCGGTAACGATCGAAACACGTACTGTGAGAAAGAGGCGATTCGTGAGTTTCACATTGTTGCTGGTATGTAGCATAACAGCATGCTCGTATGAGGCAAGTCCGACCATCATATGGACACGTGCCGTACATCTGGATGAAGATTCATATGTAAAATGTATATTTAAAATTTAAAAAATAGCCTTTTAAAATGATTTTTTATTTTATTTTTTTAATTTTAATACACCCTCTATTGTAATAACGTGGTGCAGTTCAGTGTACTTTATGTTATGTGTTCTTATGAGCACCTATTCAAATGTGTGTTGAATTCTCCTCAGCAGAGTTCCCCACACCAAAGACGGAGCTGGTTCAGAAGTTTCAGGTGCTCTATCTTGGGATGATGCCTGTGGCCAGACCGATAGGTTGGTGTGACACATACACACAGAGTGATGAAATGTTGATGTTGATTCTGAATGTTTATTTAATTCAAATATTTTGTTTTATCACCTTCTACATCAGGCATGGATATACTGAATGGAGCTATAGACAGTCTGATCGGTTCTTCCAGCAGAGACGACTGGACTCCGGTGGCCCTCAATGTAGCCGACGCTACGGTCACCATCAGCAAAGACGAGGTCAGACAGGTCTGATGTTGTTGAGCTCTTATGATGCAGTCACACCAAACACCAAGCAAAGTTTTGCCTCGTTTTACTCGCGTGAAGTCGGTTGGAAACTCGCGAATATTCCCCCCTAATGTTTGATTTATAGTATCGTGTTTGCGTGCATATTTGATTATGTAGAGCATATGCAAACGGGGTGTGCAACCTACACATACACCATCCTCCACAAACCAACACAGACCAAAATGAGTGACGGTGTGTGTGTATGTGGACTGCTGATTGGTTGCTGGTCGGAACAGGAAAAGGCGTCTTTTGCATCCATGACTTACGTGAGAAACAGAAAAAAACCCATAATGGTTGACACTTTTCACACTTGACTTCACTTTGCTTTTCTCCAGGATTGACTGAAGAACCAACAGCAGCATGAAGCTAAGCTGCCACCAAAGTCGAAATATTTTAACTCATGCAAACCTGGATTTGCCTCTGTCGGTGTTGGCCAAGGCTGATATACCGCGCCTCGTTGCATAAGCAGCAGTTTGTAGTCACACTGTGTGAAACTTTGCTTTACATTTGGTTTCATTATTATTATTATTTGATCCTATAAAAGAGCCCCGACTGGTCTCCTGACCTCTGGAGACACATATAGAAGAGACTGCTCTCCAGGAAGGGCTCCAATGAGCACAACCTTTTCAGACCTCATCAGAAAGATTACTGTTTATTTCAATGTGTTACTCTAGAAAAATCCTGAAAAAACACAAACTTGCATTCTGGAGCGAGAGAAAATAAGCCGCTGACCCGAGCGATGAATCGCAGCTCACACAGAAACTCCACTCCCGTGTGTGTGAAGAAGTCACGGCGTTCAGCTTGAACAGCCCAGCTGCTGTTTGTAGCTGTTTAAATAAATTACTGATGAGAGTGATCTCTTTAATGCCTAAAGAGTTCTGACTTTCTGTCCGCAGGATGAAGAGGATGTGCTGGTAGAGTGTCGTGTTCGCTTCCTGTCTTTCATGGGCGTTGGGCGTGACGTGCACACGTTTGCCTTCATCATGGACGCTGGCGGCCATCGTTTCGACTGTCACGTCTTCTGGTGTGAGCCCAATGCTGGGAGCGTGTCTGAGGCCGTACAGGCAGCTTGTATGGTGAGTCACACGAGCTGAAATTCAGCTCTGTGGTCCGTACATGGATTAAGAGTTAGATGTAAAAGAACTTTAAATGGGTAAAAGAAGAGAAACTTTGAGCCGTTTGCATTTTTTTCTGTAGCTTAATTAAATCTCTGAACTCTTGATTGCACTTAACAAAGAGCTTGTTAAGTTATTTACCAGCTGATGTTAAAGCTGCTGATACAGAGGTTTTACAGACGGGAAGATCTTTAGAGCCTCCCTCTCTCTGAAGGTGGATGTCCTTGGCGGTAGTGTAGTTGGGGTTTGATTGTTCAGTCTTGACAGATGCTCTAACCAGTACGATTTGCTCAAGTTGCAGTGGGACCCCATGTCAAAGCGTTGCTGGTTTGAAACATGCATTTAGATCAGGATAAAGCAGTTAAATTGCAGTGGATGCCCTTGCAGGTTATCCGCTATAGATTTTCTGTTTAAATGGTAAATGCTTTAGATTGCACACAGCGGTGTTTCCTGCTCTGCTGAAAACTTCTCAAACAGGATGTACTGTATATGGATTTGAAGTAATAACAGTTGTGTTAAAGCCGTAATACCTTCACAGTGTTTCCATTTCATCAGTATAATGTGATCACAAACCCAGAGTCCCATCTGCGCTGTTTATGCTGCGATGCATCCCATTAGTGGAGGTTACTCGCCCTCCTCTGCTGTGGTCGACTGCTGACTGCACTATTGATCACACATCAGAACTTTGGATATATGGACACACACACACACACACACACACACACACACACACACACACACACACACACAC